GCTCCTGCCCCGGGTGGGCCTCCCTTTCCTCTTCGCCGAGCATCCTTTAAGCGTGGCAGGGGATTGAGGTCTCCTTTTGCAGGCTGTTCCTGCCAGCCCCAAGCAAGCTGTCCGCTCCGAGCCCGGGCGGCACGGTCAGGATGGGTTATTCACAGTCTGCACCCAGCCAGGGACACCATCGCTGCGTGTGGAGGGAGGGGAGCCATGGAGCTAGGATGCTGGACGTGCATGTTCCTTTTCTGCCTGTTTGTTTTACCTTGTAAACCAGTGGGAGTGCCTGGTGCTGCCCCTGTGCTGGAAGAGCATCCCCTCCGTGAGCTGTACTGGGGGAGGGAGGAATCTGGACGTGAATTTCCCTCTGGCTGTGCCCCAGGGACCCCACACACAGGGGATATGGTCCCACCTGCAGGACTTGCATCAGGCTAGGCTCGCTCTGTGAGGGATCGGCCTTGCCATGCCACAGGGTCCTGCCACACGCGGGGATGGAGTGATTAGACAGGTCACTGAACACCCTGGGTGTGCCCCAGGAAGAGGGCGTGGGGGGAGAGGAGGGTTTGGAGCAAGAGGAGGAAAGCCACAGGGTAACACCACGCCGCATTCCAGTCAGCAGGTCCCTGGCTGCCAGGTCGTGGCTGGTGTCTTCTCTGGCCAGTGGAGAAACATGGGCTTTTCCAAAGTGACTTCTTCCTTGCTTTACCCATGTTGAGCTCAGGAGAAGCCAAGTGTCTTTCAGAGGGGCAACCACTCCTGCTTGGCCAGGCTTCCCTGCTTCCTCTGCAGTGCCCAGAGCAAGCGCTGGCCCAAGGAACCTGAGGTTACAACCTGCACAACCTCCCATGCCCGGAGTCCCGGGGCTGTGCTCACATCCCCCCTTACCCACACCCACATGTGTGCGTGACCCAGTGGGTGCTCTCCCACTGCCCACGGGTGGGTCCATAGCCCTGGAGGACCCAGCTGCCTGGCTGCTGCTCAGCCGGCGCCTTTTGGCCAGACAAGGGTGCCAGGGAGAGGCTTGGAAGGTGCTGCAGGCTTCTTGGAGGAGGAGGGGAGCAGCTCCTCTACATGAAAGCCTGTTTGTTGCTAAGGAGGAGCAGCCTCTGCGAGGCAGGAGGTGACGTGGGACGAGCAATCACAGATGAAAGTCCCTCATGGCCAGGGGTGGAAGGAAGCAGCAAGATGAGGCTCTGCGTGTCGGGCATGCCCCAGCTCAGTGACCAGACACGCAAGGCTGAATAAAGCAGCTCTACCCTGCGGATCCCCAAGGAAATCTGGCTCGGCAGGTCTGTACCCCCAGGGACTGATGGAGAGGCCAGGACGATTGGCCCCCACCGGGCAAATCCCGCACCGCAGAGCTCCCAGAAGCACGTCCGCACTGTACTTGTGCTGCCGTGAGCACGTCCCTGCACCCCACGAGACAATCCTGCTATCTGGGAGCCGGAGGAAGAGCCCCAGGGGGTGACAGCACCCCGAGGGACCCCAGGCTTACTGAACAGGGGGTGCCAGGCCAGGAGCGGCGCACACCAGCATTCCCTGCCCCTCCTGGGGGAGCCGGGCTGGACCGCAGCTGTGTCAAATGAGCTGAGTTTGGTTTTCTCCCATCCCTTGCATCCTCCAGGCAATTTTTTGGGGTGCACGAGCTGCGCCAGCCCAACCGCAGCCTGTCCCGTGGCACTCACTCCTGCCCTGCGGCCGCGCCAGAAGGCTGCAGGGCAGCTCGCCGTGCCCATCCTGCTTTTCATCCCTGAGAGTTTTGGATTTTTTTACGTTCCCCCTTGCCCGCCACACGCGTGCATCACCACCATCAACCCCACGCGCGGTTTGGCTCCACGAAGCCCCATTCGCGCTGCTGGAAAGGCACCTCCCAGCCGGGGGACAGCGAGCCATGTCGAGGCGCCGCTCCCGCGGGAGCACTGGAGACACGCGTGGCCCACCCGCGTGGGGCAGAGCCGGCAGCGGGGCGGGCCCCGACAGCGCCGCGGGAAAACGCGCGGCCGCCCCGCCCCGCCCGGGCGCTTCCCGCCAGTGACGCACCGCTCTGCCCCGCCCACCGCGCCGCGGGGCGGGGCCGGCCCGCCTCGCCATCGCCCTCTGCAAAGATGGCGGCGAAGCTCAAAGGCCTGCCCGCTTTCAAAATGGCCGCCCCCGCCTCCTGCCCGCGCGCCGCCGCAGGTCGGCCTCCGCCGCTTCCGCCGGCCGCCGGCGGGGAAAGGGTGCGCTCCCGGCGTGCCCCGCGCCGCCTCGCGCGGGGCACGCCGGGAGCTGTAGTGCGGGGCGACCGGCGGTCACGTGCCGCGCCCGGCAGTGGCCGCGCTGGGAGCGGAGGCGCCAAGATGGCGGCGCTGCGGGGCGGAGCGGTGCCCGCCACGGCCCTGGCCGGGGTCGGCGGCGCCGCCGCCGCGGCCGCTCCGCGAGGGCTGGCGGGCGGCGGAGCCCCGCGGGAGCCGCCCTTCCGAGCCGGCAGCCCCTTGCAGGTGAGGCGGCGGCGGGGCGCGGCGGGCCGCGCCGTGACACGTGGAGGCCGGGGCGGCTCCCGCGGCGGCGGGCACCACGTGTGCCGGGAGTGGGCCTGCCGCGGCGGCGGCGGCGGACGCGGGGGGCGCCCTGCGCGGGCCGGGGGGGGCCCCTCCGGTGGGTCGAGCGGGGTGCCCGGTGCTCCCCCAATTTGGTGGGGTGATGGCGGCCCCGAGGCGGCGGTGGCGGCGGGGTGCCCGCGCCACGGCTCCGGGACCCGCCGGGGGCGGGCGTCTCGGTGCCCCCCGCGGGAGGTGACACCCAGCCCCTGGGAAGTGGGAGCCCCGTTGGGGGGGGGGGGGGGGGCGCTGGCTGGGTCCCCCCCCTCCTCCCCGCCGTCCGTCCGTCGCGGCGCCGCCCTCCGCCACCTGCGGCCGCGGGAGGAGGGGGAGCGCGGTTTGGGACGCCGGCACCCGCCGGTTTCGGTGGCAGCAGCTCCGGGTGGAGAACGCGGGGTGCTCCCGCCCGCTCCGTGCTGGGGGAGCTTCCCTGAGCTGTACCGGCGGCTTATCCCAGGGGAAGCGGGGAATTATCCCGGGGGAAGCGTCTCCCGCTCCGGGGCAGGCCTGGGGCGCGGTGCTGCGCAGCGTCCCTGCCACCGCGGGTGTCACCGGCCCCGGTGGGACCCCGCTGGCGCTGGGTGGGGGGGTGCCTGGTTGGGGAGCGTGGGGGTGCAAGCACTCCTGGATAGGACTTGGGGGCACCTGCTCTGTGCGTTAATTGGGATTTTGGGGAGCCCCATACTTTGCCACTTCCAGGGTGGTCCTGCCTGGCCGGGGGACTGCCGGTGGGGACCCCCACAACCCCTTGCACCCTGAACCCAGGCAGGGGGATGCTCACCCTCTCTCCTCTCCCTGAGGAGGAGGGAGCAGTCAGTGTTTGGGGAAAAGAGAGGCGTATTCCCGTCTGACGCTTCCCGAAAGCAGCTGAGGAATCTACAGAGCATCCTCTGCCAGTGCCGCGCTGGCTGGCTGGAGCCCCCCCACACCGGGCAGCCCCCGTGCCGCGGCAGGCAGCACCCCCACGCCCTTGCTGGCAGCCTCAGCCAGGTGAAGAGCCTGCCTTGGCAGCCTGCTGGTGGCCAGCGTGGGGAGGATGGTTGCCCTCTGCTTGGGGCGTAGCCCCGGCGCCGGGCACATGTGCCACACTGCCCGCGGAGGCCTGGGTTGTGCATCCCGGGAACCACAGCAGCGAGCGCAGTGTCCCCTGCTCCGGCTGGGTGCTGCAGGAGCCGGCTGGCCACGCTCAGGCTGTCTCAGACTCGAGCTGCTGGCTCAAATCCCGGCTTCCCAAAGCTCGCTCTGGGGCTGCAGATGTCCTTCCTTCTCCCCAATGGCACCGGCTGCTCGGGCACGGCATGGCCTGAGCCCAAGCCTGTCCTTGACCATCCCTGTGATCCTCAGCTTCTTCCCTGCTGCGCTGCTGAGAATAAAGCAAACAGGGGGAGCTGGGTGGGTGCGGAGGGTGACCCCCCTGCCCTGAGCTAGGCGGGACAGGGGTCTCTGGCAGGGAGGGGAGCAGGCAGGGATGGGGGAGCAGGCTGGGCTGGTTCGTACCCCCGCCCCGACGCACAAGCAGCGAGGGCTAAAGGAAGGAGGTGCCCGGCCCCAGGTGGATCAAAGGGAGTCCTGGGGGAACGCAGTCTCGTTCACCGGTGACTCACGGCTGTGGGACTCCTTTTTGCAAGGTGCTGAGTCAAAGGAGTTGGGGAGGGCTCTGGAGATAGCCTTCCCTCCCTCCCTCCCTCCCAGGCTGCAGGCAGGAGCCACGGAAGGAGGCTGATTGGAGTGGGAGGATTTTATTTCCTCCAAATGTCCAGTGCTGGTCATGGCTGGAAGCCTCTTATTAGATGCTGCCTTTGGGGAAAGCCAGCCCTGTGGGAAGACCGGCAGGGCCATGCAACCCCGGGGGCATCCCCCAGACCCCCTTGCCATCAGCAGGCGGGGGTGAGCCAGCTCCCCCATCCCTCCGCCGCTGATGCTCCATGAGATCCCTCCCGCTGGCTCCTCCAGCAACCCCGGGCGCATCTGCCTGTCGGTCACCGCTGACTCAGGGCTGCACGCCGGCGCTTGGCCATGCTGGGTGTGTGAGCCTGGATGTGCTTCCCTGCTCCTCCCAGTATCTCCAGGAGGATTGGCTGGGAATCATCGCAGCCAGGCTGCACTGTAGACGGCTGCCAGCGGGGCTCTGCGCCCGGCTCTGACCGGCAGCCAGCGCCGGCCGAGGGAGGGGACTGGAGATGCTGAGTAGTAAAACTGCTCTGTAGCTTGATCTGCACGGTGGGGTGGAGCAGTGTTCCGGTGTCACTGGTGGGCTCTGCTTCCATGTGGAGAGCTCTGGAAGAGGGTGACCTGGGCTGCCGAGCCCCAAACCATTGCAGGCTCCTGCTCTTTGAGGCTGCCGTGTTGGTACCCAGTAACAGGCTGGGGGGATTTGGGATGGGGGGATGTGGGGCATTGCTGTGAGGGTCCTGGGGTTTGATTCCCAGCCTGGTCCTGGCTATGCCTGTGCTCCAGGGTCATACGGGGCTGTGCAATGGCCAGAAGTGCCTGCTCTGATGGAGGCAAGTCTCTGACAAGCCCCAGAGGCTGGGGCTTTGGGCATGTGGCTTTGATGCTGCTATATTTTAGGAACACTTATTTAGTGAAATGCCTGCTCTCGCTCTGGTGCAGCTTTCCTCTTGCCAGAAGAGGATTTCAAAGTACACATGGGTCTTGTACAGGGACAGGAAGCATTTTATCCTGCGTGGACTCAGGCTTGTGCAGGCTGCTGTACCTACATGGAACATGAGTGAGCCACATCAGATGCACATACCTCACAGTTTGTCTGCTCCCTGCCAGCTTTGGGAGGGAGGTGTGCTTTCCCAGGGCTCTGTCCTTGGTGCCCTTATCTTCCCTGCCTGCGTTATCTCTGCCTAAGCCCATCTGCAAACAGGAATTCGGGTGCTGTCTCGTGCCAGCGACACATCTGTGCTGCCGCTCCGCTCCTGGCAGAGACTGTGTGTCCGGTGGCTCTGCTCAGCTGGGGGCTGCAGCCCCTGCCCTCGGCCAGCGTCTTGCTTTTCCTGGAGCACTGTGCTGCGTGGCACCATGGAGTGCGGTGCAAAGATCTTTCTGAAATTATCCAGCATTACCCAAGCATCCCTGGAGCTGGCTGGGGAACTGGAGAGGACACAGAGTTGGGAATTTGAAGTAAGAAGAGCAACAGAGCTGGTTTGGTCCTGTGTCGCAAGCACAGCCTGTGTCCTCTTGTATCCTGCAGCAGGGGTGTCGGGGTAGGGCCGCGGCAGTAGCAGCCGGCTGCATCCCTGTTGCTGACTCCTGCGCTTTTGTTATGAATTTCGTAATGTTTTTGGGCTTATCTGAAGCGCCGGCAGTTGGAGTCGGAGAAGCGTGTGACAGTCCGTGGGGTGGGGGGAGCTTGCCTCTCCCCTCCCCATCCAGCACAAGCGATGCGTGCTGTTGGGCAGAGCCTGGGAATTGCTGGGGGTTTATAATTCGCCTTTTGCAATCACGCAGCTGTGGAGTGAATCGAGTGGGAGTCGCCAGTGTGTGAGGCATCCCTGGTAATCAGAAGGGTCGCGGGCTGAAAGTGGCACGGGGCTTGGTGCAGTGGGGTAGACTGGCCCGAACCTTCCCCTGAAAAGCAAGGGGAAAGGCCCCCCCCCCCCCGTGCCACCTTCTGACCTGCAGCGCGGCTGTGCCCCGGCTCTCTCCCCTGTGTGTTTGGGGGCTCTGGGGGTGCAGCAGCGCAGGCTGTCGGGAGCCCCAGTGCGCTGCTGAGATCGGTGCTGGTAGTGGTGCTTTGCAAAGTGTTTACCTGACTCCCCGTGTTCCTCGGCAGTGCTTTTCGCTCGAGGAGGATGACCTGAACTTAACGTCGCTGGATGCAGAAACCATCTTGGAGGCTGAAGAGATCCTGGGGACGATGCAGAACTATCTCGACTCCTCTGTGATCTCCATCATCGAAGACCTCTCTCTGAGCGAGGTGGGAGCCCACACACAGGTGTGGGAAGTGGTGGCCGGGCTGGCTCTGGCTGTGGCATGAGTGGGAGCAGTGTTAGCATCCCCCATGGCCGTGTCCCACTGCCCTCTGAGACCATTTCTGCCCTTGCAGCAGAGCAAGGCCTGCCTGGATGCGCAGAACGAGCTGTCCCTGCTGACTGCCATCACTGAGATCCTGGACAGCACGGATGATGAGACCCTGTCTCCCTTTGACACCATCATGGATGCAGAGCTGCTGACCTCACCTCGGGAACGGGAGAATCCCTCGGTGAGTTGTAGGGCAGAGCCAGCCTGACCCTGAAAGGGGTGGGAAGATGCTCAGGCAGGGTTCTGCCAGGTCCTGGCACAAGGGTACCCTGAGGTGGTAGGACCCTAGTCTCCCAGGTCCCTCTGACCAGCAACATGAAAGAAGGGCTGAGCCAGTCCTGGACACCCCCAGGGCTCCAGTGTGGGCTTAGGGGGGCCATGCCTTCGCCTTGGATCTTGGTGTAGAGCCAGAGATGTGCCAGAGGCTCCGGGGAGCAACATGTCCCCCTCTGCTTGACCAACTGGAGCTGCACACTCTGTGGGTGAAATGGCTGAGTTTGCTCCCGGGCTCTGTGGGGTGACATGCATGGCTGCTGTGGGGCGGGGGGGTGACCTGTCCCCTCCAGCAGCAGAAGCCTGCTGCTGCCTCATCCTTTGTCGATCTTCTCTCCAGTTTCAGAAGTTTCTCAGCTTATCCCGTCCATCGCTGGAGTGTGACAGCCCTGCCCTTGAGCAGCCCAAGGCTCTCAGGTCTCTCGGCAGCAGCAGCAGCGTCTCTGTGGTTGGGAAGGTGAGCAGCGGAACAGGGGAAGCTGAAGGAGCGGTGTTGGGGTGGTGCTGGGGTAACTCTGTCCCCGTTGCTGTCCCCCGGCCCCTGCCTTCCTGCCTGGTCTAGGTGTCCTCTCCCAGAAGCGACGCTTTTGCAGGGCACCGGTGGCAGTGGGAGCAGGGCCTGCCCTAGCTGGTGGGTGCTGTGGGCCCGGGGATGCTGTGGATGCTCCCATAGGGGTGGCAGGTTCCGACTCTGTTATGTTTTACTGGGCTAGTCAAACGTGTTCCAGCTTTTTGTCTGCCATGGGGCTTTTCTGCAGAGTTGCAGCAGACACGCGGTTGGCTGTGCCTGCAAGGGCTCCGGTAAAAGCCCAGGAGCTGACACTCAGTCTTGTTCCCCTTCCCAGACCGACACAGACCTGGCTCGGGACCGTGCTGCTCACAGCCTCGAGGACCCGGTGCTGCCAAAGAAGCAAGTCAGCAGCACCCCAAGGGTGGAAAGGAAGGTGGGCAGGCACCGGGCCCGAGAGCAGCCCCTGCCACAGCGCAGCGACGGGGAGGAAGAGGAGGAGGAGGCTGCTTTGAGCCCAGAGCTAGACAGGGGCATGGAGGCTGGGGAGTTCTGTGTGAGCAGGGCTGGAGCGGTGCTGGAGGAGCGTGAAGACCCCTGCATCATCAACACGGGTGACGTGTCCCTGAGCGAGCTGGTGAAGTCCATGCACCCGTACTGCCTGCCCACCTTCACTGTGTGCCTGGGCCCTGAGACTGAGCCTGTGGCCAAGGAGCTCCTGAGCGGTCCTGTCTTGCTGGAAATTGTGCCTGGTGAGGGGGAGAGCGTGGAGATCCCGGTGGTCCTGCGGCCCTTGGCTCCCAGCTTCCCCAACCTGGAGCCCCAACTCCTGGAAGCAGAGGAGGGTACTGGGGAGTCAGTCCCAGAAGATCGAGAGGAGCTGCCAGGAGCTCCACCCCAGGAAAATGGGATGGAGGAGAAGGTAGACAAGCTGCCTGTGAAGGAGCCCTCCTACACTGTCCCGGAGAGCACACCCCCGCCGGAGACAGCAGCACCCAGAGCCTGGAGCCCCAACAGCAGCTCCCAGCGCAGCGCGGAGGCCCTGGCTGGTGGCAAACGTGAGGGCTCTGAGAAGGGCCGCGGCCGTGAGGGAGCAAGGAAGAGTCGGAAAAAGAAAGGAGAGGAGGAGCAAAGCGAGCAGGCCAGGCCGGGCAGGGACTGTGTGGCCCACCGGCTCCGCTCGGCTGGCTCGGGGGAGCCCCCAAACCAGGCGCCCACCAGCCGGCGCCGGGCAGCGTGTCCCTCCGTCCAGGTCTCGGACTTCCTGGCGCGGCAGCTGGAGCGAGCTCGGAAGGAGGGGCAGATGGAGCTGCGTGCCGAGCGGGCACCGCGGCCCCGGGGCAGGCCCCGGAGCACGACCGGGGCCTCCCCGCTCGAGAAAGCGCAGCGGGAGTTGCAGAAGGAGCCGACACTAGAAGCAGTGAGCACAGCCCCGGAGAAGGCTGAGACAGTGGTGGAGAAGAGCGCACCAAGCGCGGAGGAGCGGCCAGCGGCTCCGTGTCCTGGCCTTGCAGACCAGGCTGAGGGCCAGGGAGGTGGGCAGCCGGCTGCTGAACAGGGTGACGGGGTCCCGGAGGCTGTCTCTCCACTCCCGGAGCAAGGCGTGGGGCTGGAGCCCCCCCAGAGCCTGCCGGTGGCGGAACCAAGCGAGGGCCTGCTCAGGGAAGCCAAGCCCAAGGCCTTGAGCCTGCGGGAGTACCGCATCCGCATGCTGCACCGCCAGCCCAGCCAGGGTGGCAAGAGAGACGGCGAGAAGCAAGCGGCCAGCAAGTGGCCCAGCGTCCCCGAGCCTCCGACAGAGCTGGCGGAGATCCCCTGCCTGGTGTCACCCGTGCGCCCTGCCACCGAGGCGGCCAGCGCTCAGAAGAGCCCGGAGAAACCCGCCAGCCCCGCTGCTGTCCCTTCTCCTGCCAGCAAAGCTGCCCCCGCTCTGGCTTCAGCTCCGGCACCCGCCGTGGCTCCGCCACCCCCATCGACACCACTGCCTTTTGTCGCACCAAACGTGCCCCCAGCCGCTGGGGCAGCCCCCGCTGGGATGCCGCCAGCCTCTGCCGGTGCTTACACCCTTTACCCACCAGTGCCTTCCTGGCCCTGCTTCAGCCCGCAGCCCGTGGGCTGCCGTGGTTTGCCCCCACCGCCCAGCGCCGGCTCCTCCGGTACTTTTCACATGGTGCCTGGCCTCCCGCCTCCGGCCATGGCCTGGCCCCCACTGGCCGTGCCGCCCCCGCCTCCGTTCGGCCCCGGTGGCCCCTATGCCCCGCTGGGGTGGGCACCACCATCTTACTGGCCAGGGATCCCCATGCCACCTCCGGTGCCTCCCCTGGCGTACGGGGACCCTGGAGCGGCCCTGCAGGGTGCTGCCGCCTTCCCGGCTGGCGGGCGCCCCGGCACGGCCCTCCTGCACGGGCAGCTGCCTGCCGCCCCCGCGCCCGGCTGCCCGGAGCCACTGGCCTTCCCCGCCCCGGCCAGCGAGATGGGGGCTGCAGGTGGCCCGGCCAGGCCAGCGACCAGCAGGGTGTCGGACCCCAGGAGGCAGGCGCGGCTGGCAGGGGAGAGCTCTCTCCCCAAGGCCCCTCCAGCCCCTGCCCAGCCCCTGGCAGCCCCCTCAGCTGCTGCCGAGCCTGGCAGAGTCCCTCCTGCGGCGCCGGCCCAGCACACAGCAGCCCCTCCGGCTGCCCCCACCCAGCCTCCGGAGGAGCCCCAGGCTGCAACTCCCACCCCGCTCTCAAAGGTCCCCCCAGCTGCCGTCTGTTGTCCTGCGGAGGTGTCACCTGCCACTGGTCCTGTTGGAGAGTCCTCTGGCACCCACCCCACGGAAGAGGCTGCGCCCCCAATCAAGGGGGCAGTGGAGAAAGCCCTGCCGGAGCCCAAGGCAGCTGCTGGGCAGGAGCCGCCTGGCCAAAAATCCACCTCCCAGGCTGCAGCAGCACCACCACCACCAAAAGCGGGTCGAGAGAGCAGCCTGCCCACCAAGGCACCCGCCGCACGGCTGTGGAGGCACCAGCCGCTCCTCAGCCCGGCGCAGCCCAGCGACAGCAGCAAGGACATCGTGCAAGCCTTCATCAGCGAGATCGGTGAGCGGGAGGGCTGCGGGGCGGTGGGCTGAGCGTCACCAGCCAGCAAGGCTGCGGCGCTGCCGGCAGCCCAGGGAGCGGGACTGGTTCCTGGCGCTTCTCAGGGCGAGGGTGGCAAAGCTGTGCCCGCGGGCTCGCGGTTTCTTCCCAGCGCTCTGCCAGGATGTTGCCTCCAGTGGATGGTCTGGGCTGGCTGTGCCCAAACTGGTCCCTCCTGGGGCTGCAGAGCTGGGTGCTCCTGTCCTCGCTGTGGGAGACGCAGAGCTGCTGTGGGTTCTGCCGCTGCTTCTCCTCCTCAGCGCTCGCCCTGTCACCCCGCGAAGGCTGATGCAGGGGGAGGATGGGGCTGGGGTGCATCCCTGTAGTGCCAGGAGGGTTTTGGCTGATCTGACTTGCTGTGCTCTCTCCATGGCCCAGGGATTGAAGCCACCGACCTGTCCAGCCTGCTGGAGCAGTTTGAGAAGTCTGAGGGTATGGATGCTGTGTGCTGTTCCCTGTGGGGCTCCCTCCATGCCATGCTGGCCTCCCTAGGCTGCCTGTGCTCCCTGGGGCAGGAGCGAGGGGGCCGGGATGCTGCTATGTGTGGACTGGTGTTACCCTGCCTGGTTGCCTTGTCCCAGGGGTGTCTGTGCCCCCGTCTCCTTGGCCCGTGAAAGCAGCCAGGAGTCCCCTAGGGTGGCCAAGGTTGGTGGTGAAGAGCCTGGGAAGGAAAGGGGATGTGCAGCTCCTCTCTGCAGGGACCTGGGTTTCGGGGTGCTGTGAAACCTCTCCCCTCGCTGTGCCCAGGGTGCTCTGTGTGTCCCCCACATAGGCAGAGTCCGTCCCCTGCCCTCCAGCCCCAGCCTCTCGCCACCCTCACCCACCTTCTCTCTTTTCAGCCAAGAAGCAGGAGGCTCCCGTGCAGCCCCCTGAGGACAGGCGGCCGGCGGGGAGCTCCGGGTGAGTACCGAAACCTTTGCAGCTGGTGCCCCAGGGTGGAGCCTGGCAGAGGGCTGAGCCCTGCCTTCGGTGGGGGCACAGGGCAGCCCTCAGTCCTGGCAGGGTCCAGACTGTGCCAGGGGCTGTGTCCACCAGCCCAAAAGCGGGGGGCTGAATTCCTCACTGAGCTGGGGGCCAGAGCTAGCACTGAGGAGAAAAAATTGGGTGAAGCCGTGCTGGGCATGACTGGGCTGTGCAAGCTCCATCCTTGGATCCTCTGTCCCCCCAGCCTGGCTGGTGGGGCAGTCTGGGTGGGTGCCCCAGGCGTGGGGGACAGGGGCTGGGCTTTGGCTGCCGCATTTGACAAAGCTCCTTTCCCCTTCTCAGGCCTGAGACCCAGCAGGACAGGAAGCCCCCGGATGGCCTGCAGGCCTCTGAGCTGGCCAATGTGGCAGGTAATGCCCCGGGGCAAGGCAGGGGAGCCCGCCGTGTCCTGGCAGGGGCTGTCCCGGGGCTGGGGGAGGCCCCGGATCTTCCGGGGGAGCTGGGCCAGGAGGGGAGTGGGTTGCAGCAAGGGGCTGCTCTTGAAAGCCCTCCGGTGTTCTCACAGGCCTCACCCCCCCAGCGACACCCCCCCACCAGCTCTGGAAGCCGTTGCCCGCCGTCTCGCTGCTGGCCAAGGCCAAGTCGCCCGGGGCCGTGCCCCAGGAAGGGCCCCAGAAGGCGGCCAAGCTGATGAAAGCCAAGCCGCTGCCCCCAGGCAAGCTCCCGGGGAAGAGCCTGGTGCCAGCCCCCAGCCACGTCTGCTCGGGAGACCACGACTACTGCATCCCGGGTGCGGTGCAGCCGGAGAGCAACGGCAGCCCTGGCACGCAGCCCCCTGCCGAGGGTGGCTCCCGCTGGAACGTCAAACACCACCGGGACATCACTATCAAACCCATCTCCTCCTTAACCAAACGGACGCTGGACCAGCCCAAGCCCGCTCCGCCAGCTCCCACCACCACCGTGGGGCCCAGCCAGGAGCCTCTGGAGACGGCCTGCCTTGCCCCCCTGGATTATCGGACTAGCGTCCCCAGCAAGGCCACTGCTGAGTGCAGCAGCCCCCCCACCTCGGTGCTCCTGTCTCCAGCTGCATCGCCCTGCCGGGACCAGGAGATGCGGACTCCCAGTGCCCAGCCCAGCCGTGCTGCTGCCAAGAGGTCCTTGCGCTGTTACCGGAGAGCCCGGGACTCGCCCAGCCCCTCTGCCGGCAGCTGGAGGGCTGGCCGGAGCCGTGCCAGCCGCTCTTTCAGCTCCAGTTCGGATGGAGCTAGCGAGTCCTCATCTTCATCTTCGTCCTCGTCCTCCCGATCCCGGTCACGGTCGTTCTCCCCGCCGCCCAAGCGGTGGCGAAGGTAAGCGGTGGAGCATCTCTGCTTGTTCTTTGGGCTGGTGGCTGATCTTTTGTGAGGGTGCCCAGACACCTCTTTATGGACCTGCTTGATGGCTGTGTTTAATCTTTTTGTACTTGTGGTCCCTCTGAAGGAGTGCCTGGCTCACAGAGACTGGGGGAGCTGCTGCGACACCCTGCCAGTGGATGTCTGGCTGAACCTCACATCTGGGCAGGTGTGCCTGCAAAGCCACTGCTGATCCAGGCTTCCTTAGTCCTCCTGGAATATCATGGTACAAGTCCTTGGCTGTACCTTGGCTTTTGGTTGTTTTTTCTGGGGTATCATTGCATATGTTGCTGTTTGTGCTGTGAGGCTGGTGCAGTCCTAGATGTAGAAATGAGAGGAGCCACAATGGAGCTCTCCAGGGAGCTGCTGGGGGCAAGGAGAGGAAAAACCCGTCTGGTTTGGCTGCCTCGGGGGCTCCCTGTGCCTCCTTATGGAGGTCGCTGTGTAGGAAAGTGGGGCGGCTTGGTCTCTGCAGAATGTGTTTCTTTTGGAGTCCTTGTGCATTTGAGTGACACACAGCCTGTCCCAGCTGGGGCGGGAGGCGCTGGAGCTGGTGAGGAATCCCTCATCCGCTCTTCCCTGGGTGTTCAGCCAGTGTTGGAGACATCCCAGGCCACTGGGCATGAAGGGCTTGTGTCCTGGTTTTGGCTGAGGTAGAGCTAAGGCCCCTCCATCGGCGGCTAATAGGTGTGAAGGCTGGAGCTGGAAGGGGCACGTATATAGTGCCGCATCCCAGGGATGTGTAGCTCAGGGTCTCGTCCTGTCTGGCTCGGCTTTCCAGCAAATACAGCTGGCCCTGTTCTGGGAAATGTCCCCACAGATTGTGCCATTCTGACCTGCTGTGCTCCAGGAGAATATGTGGCGGTACCTGGCAGCACCCCCTGCTCGGGGCCCAGGTTTGTCTGTGGCAGGAACCACCCATGGGCAGCACGTTTAGGGAGGGACCCTGCTGCTGGCTGGAGGCAGCACAGCTTGATCCCGGAAGGATTTCAGTCCGGCTGCCTTTAAGCTTTGCCTGGCCCTGCCAGAGAAGCTCTTGCTGGCAGGAGGCTGTGGGCACAGAGGCCCAGCCCTGTCCCAGTGCCCGCCACAGCCCTCAGTGTGGTGGGAGGCACGTGTGGTCTCCACTCGCACGGCTGCAGAGCACAACACGGATGTGATGGCTCCAGTGCCGTCCTGTGCACCGTGCGGCAGCCCCAGACCCTCCTGGGCCCTTGCCTGGTCGCAGCCATGGCCATGTGCTGCATGGTTCCCCTGTGATTATTTCTTGCTCTTCAGGGGCTGTGCCTGTTGTGAGCCTGCTCCCTTTTCGCTGCAGGGTTTGGGGCCAAGTGGAGCAACGTCTCTGGAGTTTCATTACTGCCCTGGCAAACTTGGGCAGAGGTTTCCATATCCCAGTTCACCCTGGGGATGGGTCCTGACTGAGTAGGATGCTCTGTACCTTGGAGAGGATGAAGGTCTTTTTTTTTTTGCTCCGGAGCCTTGTGGTGCTGGGAATGGGGAGGGCCTGGCACTGAGCTGTGTCTCTCCTTCCCCCAGGTACCGCTCAAGACGTTCCCACAGCTCCTCCTCCCACTCCAGCTGTGGGTCATGTGGCAGGTCCCGGGACAGGTCCTCATCCTCATCATCAACATCCTCCTACTCGTCCAGGTCCACATCCCGCAGCCAGTCCCGCTCCCCCTCACCCTGCAGGAGGAGTAACAGGCGGAGAAGGTGAGTATGGACACCCTGCAGAGGTGTGAGCTCCCCCCAACGCACCTTTGGGCCTCCTGTGTCCTGGTCAGGGGTGGACCCACTCCTTCAATATCTCCCTTGTGTCTGGGATCACTCTATTCTGAAGCCCCCTTGACCCTGTAGCTCATGTGTCCTGTTTCTGCCCTGCCAGATACAGTTACGACGCACAGGACCACTACCAAAGGCAGAGGATCCTCCAGAAGGAACGTGCAATAGTGAGTGCTGTGCAGCTGGGTAACTGGGGATGGAGATTTTGAGGGTCCCCAGCCCCTCCATCACTTCAGAAAGCCGTGGGATTGCGGCCTTGCAGGCAGCATTGCTGGGAGGCTTTAGCCAGGGCACGGTGTGGTGGGTGGCCATGCAGGGAGGGTGCTCTCTGCGAGAGATCCTGCTCACCGGGAGGGCTCGGAGACACCGAGTCCGTCCCCCCCCGGTTCCCACCTCACGGGACGGTGCGTCCACGCCCGCAGGAGGAGCGGCGAGTTGTGTTTATTGGCAAGATCCCCAGCAGGATGACACGGTCGGAGCTGCGGCACCGCTTCTCTGTGTTTGGGGACATCGAGGAGTGCACCCTGCATTTCCGCTCCGAGGGGTAAGAGCTGCGGGGACACGGGGCAGCCCCTTCCCAGCGATGGCTCTGCTCCTCTTGGCCCTTCTCCCGTTCCCCAAGGGCATGGTGCAGACCAGGGAGGGACAGACATACTGCACTGCTGCTGATTTCCTTCCCTCTCCTCCTTCTCCGGCGCCAGGGACAACTATGGCTTTGTCACCTACCGCTACGCCGAGGAAGCCTTTGCTGCCATCGAGAGCGGGCACAAGCTGCGGCGCCCGGACGAGCAGCCCTTCGACCTGTGCTTCGGCGGCCGCCGGCAGTTCTGCAGGAGGAACTATGCTGATTTGGGTGAGTCATGCAGCCCCCCAAGTCGAGGGCCGGCACCCTGGGTCCTTTCTCCTTCCCGGAGTTGTAAGGGCGTCCCCATCCTTGTGGTCAGTCAGGCTTGGCTGGGCAGGGCCTGTCCAGGGATAGTCCAGGCGCTCCCCATCCCTCCGGCGCTGTGAGGGAGGGCAGGTCCAGTCCTCCGTCAGCCCAGCGCTGGGTCGAGAGGTTGGCACGTGAAGTGAGATGGAAAGGAGCTGCTGTGGGGGATGGCGGGAACTTGTGCCAGTGTCCCCATGGCTCAAGGCAGCCTCACCCCGTGTCTTCCAGACTCAAATCGGGAGGATTTCGACCCAGCCCCTGTCAAGAGCAAGTTCGACTCCCTGGACTTCGACACGCTGCTGCGGCAGGCGCAGCGCAGCCTGCGGAGGTAGCGGCAGGCGAGGCGGAGCGCCCGCCCCCACTTTTATACACAAATACAAAAGACAAAAAAATTATGGAGAGAGATGGGGTTTTTAAGAAAAAGAAAAAGGAAAAAAAGAAATTTGTTTTATAACCAATATTTAAGGAGGACGGGTCATTTGCCTTTGACTGGAGGGGCCCAGGCGAGTGGCAGCCCCAGGCTTGCCCCAGCCATGTAATAAATGCGGATGCCCAAACAGCAGTGCTGCCTCGTCTCCTCCTTCGCGTGGGCCATTCCCAGGTGTGGGCTCGGGCTGTGTCCCCTCAGGACCCCGGGGGCTCTGTGCTAGGGTCTGACCCCATGGGAGGTAGCACAGGGCAGAGACTGGGTGCAGGAGCCACGTGTCTGGGGAAAGTGGGGCAGGACCGGGGCCACTGAGCCACTCCAAGGGGTCTGTGACAGCACCCAAATGGTCTGGCACGGGGTGAACGCCTCTGAGGACGGGTCACGCAGACCCCTCTGACTGTGTCTCAGGCTTTGCTGGAGCGAGGACTCGGCACCCCAGCCCTGAGAGGCACCCAACTGGGTTTTAGGGCCACCTGCACCTCCCGTGGTGGCCACGGAGCGGCAGTGCAAGATCCTCCTCCGCTGCTGCTCCCTGCTCTGGGCTGGGGTACAAAGGGCTCCTTGGCAGGAGCACAGGCAGGGCTCAGCCCGCTCTGAGGGCAGCACGCGTGGCTGCTATGTCTGCCTGTCCCCTGCGAGCTCGCTCGTTGGTTTTGCTCCAGCTCGCCAGGGGAGGGATGTCTGACATTTCATCTCTAGGTGTCCCCCAAGGGAGAGGTGTTGGTGTGACTGCAGAGAGGTTACAGGCGCCTGCAGTGGGCAGGGCATGGCAAGATGGTGCTTGGCAGAGGAAGGATGGACAGGGACAGGGAGGGGATGCAGGACGCCTGCGCAGGCCCCCCCGCAGTGCGCTGCAGCTCATGGAGGAGGAGGGTGATCCCAGGCAGCCCCCAAGGGAGCGTGCTTGGGCCTGCTGCCAAGCACCTTCCCTGCACCTCACCTTGAGCCAACAGTGCTGGGGCCCTGCACCTCACTTTTGTGCTGGCAGCCAGAGAAAAGCCCTGCCTCTGCCGGTTCCTGGGCTGGGACAAGCCCGGGGATCCCCAGCAGCCCTGGGCTGAGCTGGCCGTGCTGGCTGGGAACCCTGAGGTGGCACCGAGCACCCTGGCTTCAGGGCTGGGACAGGCTTGGACAGGGTGCAGTGGTGCCCCGTTGGACCCCCTCACAGCACACCCTGGGGTGGGGGAGCCTGCAGCTGCCTGGCTGGGCTCTGCAGAGCTGGGGGAACACAGAGAGAAGGGACGGGCAGGGAATGGGACCCCCCCAGGGCTCCTTGCAGTGTCTGTGGTGGGAGGGGGCTGGTCAAAGTCTCCCAGACCCCTTGCTTGATGGAGGCAGCACCCATTCCTCTAGCAGGAGAGCAGGGAGGGGAATAGCAGCAATAAACCCCGGGTGGGATGTCCAGTGGGTGTGATGCTGGGGGGGAGGGTTCAGCCAAGCTGATGCTGCCACTTGGACCGTGCTCAGGCCTCTGTGGCCTGTTGGGGGTGTGCCGGGGGTGTGCTGCAGCAGCAGTCTTGTGGTTTAGGATTAGCACGGTGGCTGGAGCCTGCTCGTGCCCTTTCTGCTCCTCTGGAGGGAGAGGGATGTTCTTGCTCCTGCCCGCACGCTGCGTGACTTGTGCCACTCCATAGCTCAGCCCAGGGAGGCCTCCACAGCACCCCGGGTACGTGGGGCACAGTGAGGCTGCCAGCGGGGTGAGCCCCGGTGTGAGCTCCCACCCTGTCCTCTCCTGCCTGTCCCTGGACTTTGCACAGGGGAGGGTCCAAGGAGGCGGCTGCAGGCAGAGGTGTGAGCGGGGTGGGGGGGCTGGTGGGCGGGGGGCTGTTAATCAGTAATGCAGCTCTTCTCAGGGGCGTCAACTTGGCAGGAGGGGGTGAAAGCCAGCACCCGGCTGGTTTCTCCAACTGGTTTAGGTGGTCTGAAAGTTTCTTCACAGCCTTTCCTTGAACCTCTGCTGCAGCTGTGGAGGCAGGCATGAGCTGAGAGTGTCACAGGGAAGCCAGAGCTGGGCATGAGGGATGTCCCCTGGCAGAATGACTTCTGGGGATGTGCTACCCTGTGGACCTGAGGCGTGTGCATTTGGGCAACCCTGTGAGTACAGTGTCACCCCAAATGCATGTGCTACTGGCCACAGTACAAGCAAGGCTGTGTCCTTGGCTTCCTGGGGCTGGGCTGCACATGGTCTCCTCTCCTCGCTCCTGCAGGTGAGGAAAGGCAGGGGGTGTGAAAGCGTTTGTGTTGCCAAAAGAATTAACACCCTGCTGTTGTGCCCTATAAATCTTTCAAGTGTTAGAGGCTGGCTTTATCCCCTCCCCGTGTTACAGTTTAATGGTTTCCGTTAGCAATAACCTGGCCCTGTGTTCTGGGGTTATTGATTTAAGGTCTGTTGTGGAGGGTGTGAGAGTTGCAGAGAGGTGTTTTCCTGCTGCCCAGCCAGCAGCAAAGGTGCCGCTGCAAAGAGGCAGCAGGAGAGAAGGAAGCGGTGCACAGCCAGCTCTCTGGAAGCGTGGGTGCTGGCAGGAGCTGATTGGGAGGGATGGGGGGATGGCGGTGAGGAGCAGCACTTGGAGCATGTCCCTCGCTCAGCCCTGCAGCCAGCAGGCTCAGCTGCAGCTGCAGGGGTGACCATAGCTGTTGTGGTAGCAGGGCAGCACGGATGCATCCCCTGAGCTCTAGCACAGGCAGGACGTGCCTGCCTTTGGCTCTTGTTGGAGCTTTTGTGTGCGTGGACGGCCCCTGGTTTGGTGGCAGGCAGCTCTGTGTACCTTCCCCGTGCCAGCCAGACCACCCTGCTGTGCTGCAGATAGCCCAGTTTGGGAGTTTGGACTGGAGATCCCAAGGCAGAGCCGTGCCTTGGTTCTCCTCTGCACACACCAATAGCTAAGTCCTGCTGGTGGCTGTATCGCTGGCCCAGAATAGTCCCTCTCGCCATGCAGGTGCCTTTTGGAAGAGGCTGGGGGTGCAGCCCATGCACAGCCTTTGTCCCTCTGGCAACCCGTGAAGGTTTCCCCTGACAGAGGCATGCCAGAGGTGAGGGGCAGAGCTGGGGCTTTGTCAGGACCCCAGCTCCTGGGAAGAGTCTCCTGGAAGAAAATCCACTTGGCTCAAGGCATACGGCGTACGTAGGACAGCCAACCTTCCTCCAACAAGTGACAGCATCCTTCACTGCCTGCATGAGTGGTTCTGCCCTGAGCTGCAGCAGCCCACGGCTGGGGACTACACAGGGGATGTTTTCTCTGAGGGCACTAAACCGAGCTGGGGTTTTCACTCTTTCTCTTCAAGGCAATCAACTTTTCCCCCTCTGTTCCTGCTGCAGACTCCATTCTCTGGGGCTTGTCCCTAACCCTCCCTGCACCAGGCCTTGCCATCTGCACCCTTCTGCTGGAACAAACTTCCAAGGGACTGATGATGATTTCATGCTTTCCTCCTCCCTTTCTCTTCTCGTTCCCTCACATTAGTATGTCCTGAATGTGATCTCCAAGCTAGAAAGCAGTTAGAAGGAACATCCGGAGTGGTCTTTCATCATAGGTAGAAAATGGATGATGAGGGGCCTGTGTGCAGTGCCTAAGCTGGTTTGGACCCCGTGTGCAAAAGGCAGTGGGGCAGTGGAAGAGTGATGGCAGCACTCCTCGTGCACCTCTGCCTGGGGCTGGAAGCTGCACAGCCCTTGTCCTCAGCTTTGCAGAACTCAACATTTCCCTAGCAACAGCAGGGCCTCTTATCCTCAGGAAAGGTTATTCTGGAACCTTGGACTTGGATGCTGCCAGGTGCTGAGCACCCACATTGCCATGAGGTGGGTGTGCTTTTCCACACTTAGTATGTTCGCACTTAAGATCCAACTTAAGATGTTGAGTGTGCTCATCCCAAAAGCTGACAGGGACCTTGGAGGGGAGAGGTGCCGGGCATGAACCCGGCTATGCACTGCTCCTCGCTGTTTGCACCCATTCCCTTCCTTGGGACCTCCCTGTCCCTGAGGTTCAGACTGACTCCATGTAGCCCATTGCTCAGAGGTCCTGACCCAAAGCAGAGGCTGCTGCTGCTGTGTGGTGTCTGTGCCCTCTGCAGTCTGGGGTCCCTGCGCTGGGAGCCTCACAGGTGTACCTAGCTTCAGGGTACCTGCAGAGAGAGGCCTTTGAAGTTTGGTGCTGGGATCACTGGAAACGTGGGCTCAGAGGAGCCCCTGAGGGCTGGGAGAGACACTTACCCCCTATGGCACGCAGAGCCTGCAGGTTCAGGGCTCCCTCACAGCTCTCTTACACATCCCTCACCCCAAATCCCCGCCTGCCTGCAAGAAAGCCCTGGAGGCCAGCCAGCAGTTGTGCGTGCTTTAAATCTGTGCTTGTACAGCTGAGAGCCTGGGTTAATTCCCCTGTTCCCTCTTACAGCTGCTTTTGCAGTTACTGCGTGTACTTGTGTTCACATTGAGACAGTCCTCCAGGGTCACCCCGTAGTCAAGTGTCCTGCAGTTGTGAGTAAAGGTGCAATGAATGTTCTGACATTGTCTATAAACTGGACGCTTGCTCCACTCACCCCGCAAACCAGGCGCTGCACATGCTTCCTGACTTGTCTCAGCAAAAAAAGCTGCAGCTGTAACATACTACAGGAGGCAAACAGGGAGATTAAGGGACCATCAGATTTGCACCCTGGTGATGGCAGAGAATTTGTGGAGAAAAGTTACATAATATCTAGAAAATAGATGTGAACTTGAAGAAGTGCAAAAAAAAAAAAAACCAAAAAAAAAACCAAAACAAACAAAAAAACCCCACAAACAAACAAACAAAAAAACAAACAAAAAGAAAAAACAAAACCAAGCCCTGAAACAAAACAAAAAACCTCCAAAACCACACAAAAAATGCAGCCACAATTTTTTTTTTATCAATCCAGGAAAATTCCCTTCTGACCCTAATCTGGCAATAGCGTTAAGCCTAATGTGTGAGCAGACTTGAGGGACTGTAATGCTGGGAGCATAGGAGCACCAGTGCATGAGGCCCAGAGCTTGCCTTTAGTGCTCCAGAAGGAAAACCTCAACACCTTTAGAAGCAAATTAAGGGGAAAATTGTTTATTCTTTATCTTCATAGTGACCAACAGAAACCTGGACGCCTGGGGTTGAAGCGGCACCTCCTCCAAACCA